AGATTTGAACAAATACGAACAAAAACATCAAAATTAGCACAGAAACAGTACTATATAACATTTTAGACACATTCTAGACAGTTAATCAGCTAAAAAAAAGATAATTTTGGGGCAAGTTACTCTTTAATAGCATAGGTAACAAACTGGGACGAGATTGGCATTGAAAAATCCCTAAAATTAGTTTATGGTAACTGTTAGATTCAAACGGAGATTTCCTTCACAGATTGGCATTGAGTGAGGATTTCTGTGGGACCTGCGGTCTTTTCCCCACCCCTGTTTCATGGGGAGGTTTTTCTGATCGTGAGGGGTCATTTTAGGCGATTTGCAACGAGTCAGCCTTCAGGTCCCCTGCAGTGACACAGATTTTTAAACGAGTATGCATGGATTGTTTGTCCATGTCAGTCATGGAGGTGTTTACAGTCAGGAGGCCTGGGGGTGTGGCTGATGTAGCTGAATTTGACCTTATTAGAGAATTAGGCTTAGTTTACCTACTATTAAAGTAATTCAAAATAATGTGCGCTTAGAACTTAAAATAGGTTATTAGCTAAATTAGACAACCTCTAAATTGTAGACTGAACATTTACTTATTTGCTAATGGACAAATGATGATATCCACCAAAATTGAACAGCAAAGTTTTTGTGCTGCAGTGGCTATGGTGTTATTTTTTTCTCGGTTCACAGCCAATCCTTTATTTTTCTTTTGGGACTAATTAGTCCCGAAGGGGGGGTTATGTAGTGTCCAAGAGTGGGGGGCCTCTTCTCAGGAATGCACAGATGTGATGTCTCTTGGTTTTTCCAGCTTCAGAGCTCGGCACATATTACCATATTAGGAAGAAGGTATACCGTGACAAAATTTATGGTGTATCTGTTGGACTACACTATAAAGAGCCTTGTACGCCCCTGCTCTTCACCTTTGTTCTTAATCTTCCTTACTTGATTAATCATTTGGTTTGAAGGCCACAATTCGGTTTTTGGCTGTAATCTCCTGGACTGCAAAATAAAGATTCTTGCTGTTCAACCAGCCTGTTTCAGAGTTCTCTCTTCATTGAGCAACAGCCGTTTCTCTTCAACCAGAAGAAGTGTTTATTTTCACCTCAGAGTTCATGTAAAAAGGAAGCTGAGAAAATCCTTTGTTGCTGTGCTGAAATCTAATTATCATAAAGAGTGATAACAAAGTTCACAGAAGCGTTGCTAACCACGAAGAAGTGGTAAATTCTGTTCGTAAAAGCTGCATGCTCACATCCAGGCAGAGAAGCCCTGGATACAAGCTGATCTGAGAATCTGCTYTGCTAAAAGTTTCCCGTTTAGAAAGGGGGAAGTGATTGGTTTTTTTTACAGCACCTATCTGAATTGTTGCTGGAGCTTTAAGTGAGACCGCTGACGTCTGGAACAAATCGCCTCGCTAATGAGCTAAACTCTCTCATGGTAAAGGCAAAGAAAAAGAAACAGCCTTATTGTGAGTTTCAGAAGTGCTAGGGCTCCAGAGAGCCACAACGCTAGAAGAATAAAAAAAAAAAGCCACAGCGCTAGAAGAATAGAAAAAAATAAAAAGCCACAGCGCTACAAGAAATGTTTTAATGAGTCCAAACGAACGAGAAAAGATCACTGAAGACTCACCTGAAAAAAAAGCAGCGTTAGTTTTCAGAAATCTAACATCAAAGTTGATGAACTCAACTATTTAAACTAGTTTAGACTAACATCTTTAAACTAGAACCTTTAACTTCTCTTGACCACCAGTTCAGAATGGAGCTAACCGCTAACAAATGCTAACTCCAACTAGTACCAAGTTTGTCTTGTTAAGCTGTGCTCACACTCAGTCGAACAATGTGTTAAAGGTTGATAAGTCTTCAGACTTACACATGGTTAGGCAGGACCATCCCATGTGCCCCTTTAAATATCTCCCACTTTTGTTAAGCTAAAGCAGAGGAGCCCAAAGTGGGGCCCGTGGGCCAAATTTGGCCCGCCAAGCCATTTGATTTGGCCCACCAACAGTTGCCAAAGTTACAAGGTTGTTACCTGTTATGTAGAA